ATATTCTAATTTCCGTGTAAATAAAAAGAGTAACAGTGGTTACAAAATTCCAGAAGCGTGTTCTTGAAATCGTAAAAATGTTCATGATCCTCGAAAAACATGCTTGTTCACGTCTATAATGATTACAAGACCCGAATGCAACTATAAATTGTAGTTCTTTTACAATTACGACCAATGAGAAGAAATATCGATGAACATTTAATAACGTTCATTGATTTAAATTCACCGAATTACCCGGGAGTGCCCGGGTCACTGTTACTCCTGTTCAATGAAAGATTTATTGTCTGTTTCAATAAATTTGCAAATTCGTAGCAGGTTTACGTGGTTATAATTCAGGATACGTTATCCAGATTAATACTTAATTTTCAGAAAATCGACTCGTTAAAAACGAGAAAGTAGAGACGATACATCGACACGTTTGAATGTAGAATACGATACAATTTTGTTGAAACTTATTATTACACATAATAATTGGATCACGAAGTAATCTGTACCTCCCTATTGCCATATGTTCTTTTTCAGAAATCGAAACTCCTGTGACAAAAATAAATAAGGATCATTACTTATATCTTACGGTATACGCATTTTACAATTCACATTTCACATCTATTAATTCTATTCATACACAATACAATATTTACATAGGCTGATTATAAAATACCCTTATCACATACGAGCGATCAAACTTAAATAAAAAATTATCAGGAAAGAAATGTTTTTTCTTTCTAAAATTGAATCAGACTTTAAGACTAGAGCTACCAGACAGATCAAAATAGCCCAATCTTTATTTCTTCTTTGTGCAATTATTGAGAACATAACATGATCCTCTGAAAAATCACCAAAGAAGTCGGTTTAGCAATAAATGAACACAATTCTAAATGAACAGAAATCTCAATAAATAGACCCTTATAGTTTCCACAGAAAAATTTCAAATAGTCAATCTGACTGCTCGGTGGTTTTAATGTTAACCTATTAACTCTAGAATTTAATTTCAGAAATCTCTGATAATTTTTGCAATGAAATCACAAACGAATGTATACTCGTCTACCGCAGACCAAATGCACCTATAATATAATCTAACGAAAAGCTAAAGCAAAACGAAGGAGAATTACATGTTTGTCTGAAAAAATAACTAATCAAATAACTAATATTTATCATCGAAAGAATTAGTATCATTTTGATTTTAAGATGACGTATATACTCATCAAACGCAGTTAACCGGTTAAGCATCACGCGTTTAACAAATATTCCCCGAGTTCCCAACAACTGCAGTGAAGCTTTATTTTCCAAGGGATATAGGTCACGTGACCTACAGCTTTATAGATTACACCGAACGTCGAAGATGCGCGGACACGGAATGCTGCGAACGGATCCGGCGAGAAATGGCGCGTTGTTTATACGCGTGTGCGAGCACGTTGCTATCCAGCATCGAGCTGCAGACGATTTCTCACGTTCTGGGGTCAGTAGAACAGTAGGAATCCAGTCGAAAAGTGTGACACGCATTTGCATCTCCCATCGAGAGGTAAACGTGGGCGTTTGCCGGCGATCGTTCACCGTGAATCACGATCGAGAATTCTAGCGTTGCGCAACGCCTCCGGTCGATCCGTGTGCACGGCCGTGCCCACTGTTTTCGTTTTCCGGTTGGCAAGGTCGTTGTACCGGCGTATTACACCAGTCATGAAGACCGATTGCATAAATATTATTTACTAATCCCTTCCCGTACAATGACGATTGGGACTCGCGATAAAGATTTTCCGTTCAATTTGATTTATTCATTAAATCATTTTTAAATCAATGTTATTCATTTTATATAAGTTAAAGTTAGAGATTGCTTGTCTATTATCAAGGCGTTACCTTCAAAGTGTGTACTTACAATAAACAGAAAATTTCTTCATATTCTCTCAAATTATTGATGATAAAATGAATCCATCAGGCATCGCGAAGAAAATTTTACGGTGGGGGGTTAAAGAGAATTGGAGAGATTCGACGAAATTGAATTATGATAGATGAAATTCATATGTATACAGGGTGTTTTTAAAATTGTGGTACAGTTAGGAGAGAAATTTTTATATGTGAACAATTAAGTAGAAATGATTAGAGTAATTGTTTTTATTAGTGATATTAATAATTGAAGAGAATTTATCTTTGTTTGAATTGTTAAAAAGAACAATTGATAAATTATGTTACTCAAATAGCACAATATCTCTGTAACAATACCTTATAAACCAGTATTGCTTGACAGAGTATTTTGGAGTTGTATCGCTTCGGAGGATATTGTGACACGAATGATAGTATTCCGTGTCACACGCGCTATTGTGCGAAATAAATAAGGATGTATTTGAAAATATTCGAATTAGCATTTAGAAAGGCTCGTATTGCATGTTGTCACCGTATATGTGTTTTACCCAGAACCGGCGATCTCTGTTGGATATATTTCTCATAGATCGGACTGCTTTCCCCAGAAAAGAGTCTTTATGTACGCATGACATCATCGACAGTTGGAGTCTTACAAAAGTCAGATAAATCTCGGTTCAACGGAAATGCAGCGTGAAAGAAGGAAAGGGGAACAGAACCTCGTCGATAATACTCGCAGAACGAACCGCAAAGGATACCGCGCTTACAGGAAAACCACATTGCGTGAAACTTTATTCGATAGTATTAATCTCTAAGCAACTTCAATTCGAATGAATCGTCCGACTAAATATACAATTCACCCATTCCCTTATCACAATATCAACATTTCAACAATTTGTTCATAACATTAACATTCCTTATCTGGTGAATGAAATACATTTTACGTTCTAAACATACACCTCAATATCGTTGATTCATATGAGAAGAAACGTCTGCCTTCGTAATTATTACTATCAATAAATACAACTGTTCAAATAATTGAAATTATAATCAAATCATCTTGATTATATTATATAACATTATATGATGTTTTTTAAATTATATTATATTATGTTATATTGTATTATATTATAGTATATAATATTATATTATTAAGTTTCCATTACAAGCCAATGAGATTATCACGTTCAACCACAAGATATTAGATATTCCAACTCCCCTATCACCGATCGCAGTACGATAATCGCACGACATAATCCCATCCTACAGATTTTTGGTTGTCCTTTTCCGCGGAATTAATATTGGAGCTAGAATCTCGATAATCCGAGAGATCTTAGTGGGAAAGTGCCGTATCCGCGCGCCCCCGGGAACCTAGGAAATTGGAGGGCCAAAAGGGAACCCCGAAGCGTCCTCTCGCACCAGTAAAAAAGCTTAAAGGAATGAAAACGTACGGCGGCCCTATCTTCCGTGATAATGTCGATGAATGACGACACTCTATTAACCCAGTGGCCCGAGGAATGATATAAAACGGAATTAAAAGAACAGGCTGGCCGGGTAGCCCGGTCGAGATCCGCAGACACGTGTACCGGGTGGCGGTGGAATAATTAAGCGTGGAGCTCGAGTGGCGACGTCGTCGACGACGGAAGAAGTGGTGCTCGTTAATGAAGCGATACACCAGAGACGGTCCCCGACAGCCAGACAAAATCCTGAGCGAAACTTTCCCCAAAGAGCGTTCCGTTCCGAATATT